AATATTTCTTCAAACAATAAATGTTCAGGGAAGTGGAGTGAATACATGTGATTGGAAAATATCATTCCTTTCCCGCAGGAACGCGCCTACTCTACCATTCGACATTAGAAGGAGTAATTTTCGCAAACATTTATTCACTTCTGAAGAAATTGAAAAATATCCAAATATTATGTAAAGATTTTTGTATAGTGAAACAGTAACTCTCCCCTTTTCGGAAAAAATACATATAAATATAATAAAATCAGGTGCATGTTTTAGTTTGTTTTGTGATAAGTTGAAAGCATTTGAAAAAATGATGACCAAATAACGAATTAGATATCGGGGACCATAGATGTTTGGACTTTGAACCATAACGAGCGAAGACATTGCGTTCTACTTGATAAGCGGAATTTGTACCGGAAACATAACAACACGCAGTACAATACTACTAGCTGTCACACGTGCACACACAATAGGCGGATAGGTCAACAATGCATTCAGGTCATTCATAAGACTATTTACCATGTAGACAATATTACCTTTCTTTTGTAAAAAATAAATTCAAACCAATATTATTACATGAAAAATATTTAAAAATAAAATCTGTATTGTTTTTTTTTTTTTAATATTTGCAAGTGTGATCACTTTTGTCAAGAAAGGAATGTTTTTGAAAACAATAAAAGTACATTCTATGTCAGATAAGAACCAACAAAAATTATTATAAAATATTTAACTGGAGTAATAAAATTGACAAATATAAGCACTACAGATATCAAGATGGCAGATTCAAACTAAACAGAGTTTGTAAGAAGCAAAAACTTAATCTCACTTAAAGCATAAATCCTAAAAACCAAGTTGTGTACAATAATACTTTTGTTTACGGTGTACAATAATATATTTTTTACAGTGTACAATAATAGAGGTCACAATATTGATGGTGAAATAAAAGAAATGATTGTTCTTAGTTTGACTTCCCGAGCACACTAATTCTTTCAAAGCAAATTACGAATTTCACAGTCTAAGTTGAAAATATTCAATATTCAGTATGAATATATACACAAATGAGTTACAACCCTTGGAACATTTAGAAGTGAAGAGTATTATGAAGTAGTATGATCAATCTACCATTACAGCAGCAGTTTAGGTTTTAATAAAGTATTTGATCCTGCTGAGGTAGACAAACTTTTTAGGTAAGAAGTTTACAGAATAACAAATTGTACCATAGGTTGTGCACCGCACTTTAATAATAACCCCCTACCAATTCTGGTGTAAGTAAACTGGTTTTTGAATGGCAATAGTATTGAATGGTTTTATTTCATGATTGAAAATAGTTACAGTGGTAAATGCATAGAAGATTAAGATTAATGTTGAATTTCACATACTTTCACAGAGGTCGGGACTTATTAAGAAGCGTGAACGGTTACGTTCAAATGAACAAATGAACGAAATATGAACAAATCAAGGGGATGATAGAAGTGCAGAGGAGAAATGTTGTTTCACTATTGAATTAATTTGTTTCGTTTTCTGTTAAACAAACGACTAATCCAATATAAACCAATATTTGTAAAATTTGGCGTAAAAGCAATGCTTGTGGTCGAAAGATCCCCAGCGCGCCACATCACGCGTGTGGCGGGAAAAGCCCCCGAGAACACCCGGCCTAATGAGATTCCCCATTTGCTCAACAAGCACTTGCATCGCTTCTCGACGGCCAGTAAAAAAAATAAGCAGCAACTACAATAGCAATTGTATCTAACATAAATGGTATATTAAAAATTACAACTGATTTTTTACCAAAGTTGTTACGAGCATAGAAGTGACGTTGCCATTTTTCAATTGCAGAAGGGTAGCCTACAATATTCTGCAAATAATCTGCCCAATAATTTGCTCGTTTATAAACAGTTTATGGAAAATAAATTTGTGCGTAAGATAAAAAAATACATTTTTAAAACAAGAAAGATAAAGCTCACTGGACACAAAAAACCAGTAACGATGATATGCAAGGAAAACGAAATGTAATGGTGACATGATTATTGGCGAATGTTATCACACACGCCAACAAAACAGCGCAAGATCATTCCCCAGAGGAATGAGTCAGGAAATAACCTCTCCTCTACGTCTTATTGGCTTTACACATATGAGCTACTAGCGAAGAAATTAGACAAGTATAACATTTGAGTCATGAACATTTCCAATATAAAAATAAATTACTATTCAATCACCCTTTTATTATTGATATTTTGATTTTTTGATAATTGACTCACACGAATGTAGCTCAAGAAATTGCGCTAGTTGCCACGAATTGTTCAAGAGACTAGTAAATTTGAAAGAATACATGTCATGCCACTTAACGCAAATTAAAAACACGAACTTTGAGGCAACACACAGCATTCATGGATATGTTTGGAAAATAAAAACACTCAATCAATCACTTAATGAAAATAAGATACTTGAAAGAAATGGTTACATAGAAGCAGCAGAGGTCACAGAACGTTTCAGAGCCTGCTATTTCGAATACATTTTGAAAGTGGTTACATTTATGAAATATATTTTTTGTAGATTAATCTTATCAATTAACATAAAATAAATATTCGTTTATAATTCACCGAGTAATTCTGGAAATATTTGTTCATTTTTCGCTTCTCGTTGCAGAATACAGAGAGTTAGGTAATGCTGCGCGAAAAAACGACGAATTTTCGGCGAAAAACTTTTATTACAGAGCTCTGATAACGAAAAAGTGAAAACATCCAGTTGCTAAATTTAGAAAAAAATCCTTTAACATCCTTCAACTTTAATTATGAAGATAGATATTTTCCCCTTAATGAAATCAGTTCCTTTAAGATAGATTTTGAAATAAGATCACGTACAAATGTTCGAAAATTTGAGTTCTCTTCGCGTAATTTTGCGTTAAAATACGGGCGAGAAAGTGCGAGCTGTTTTAGCACCACTCGTTTATCATGAAACATCACGTTTCGTCTGCAAACACCAGAAAAGAGCATTACATCTAGGATGTCTTCGTTTCTAGAAGTTGTGACGTTACACCTAAGTGTGAATTTATGGTGCACACCTAAAATATTTTTCCTTCGCACTGTTAAAAATTAAATTGGCAAAGCCTGCAGGTAAGACAAAAAATAAATACTTATTGACTGTGCAATGTCTTACAATGCTCGCTATTTCCAAATCTGATATACAGTTCTGAAATCAAAAACCTGTAGTTGGAGAAATGTCGCAAAGGTTCAGTTGAACTTGAAAGTCTCGAGAAGACAGAAAGCGATTGCCGCTGAAGCGAAACGTAAGAGCACGCGAACCACAAAATTACAGATCGATTCAGAAAACGTCGACATACATTCACGACTGGGGCTATCACTCTACTCTACTCTACTAGCGACATTTAGTCAGCTCTCCAGAGAGCGAGAGAGAGCAAGCGAGAGTGAGTGTGTATGTTTATGTGTATGTGTATGTGTCTGTGTGTGTGTGTGTGTGTGTGTGTGTGTGTGTGAGAGAGAGAGAGAGAGAGAGAGAGAGAGAGAGAGAGAGAGAGAGAGAGAGAGCGAGCGAGAGAGAGATCTTAGTAGCGGGTCTTGCACTTTTGCCAGATTGTAAGACGCTTAATTTTTTTGGCGGTAATACGTATGCTTTACGACTCTTTATCAAGCACCGCTCGTGTTAACAAGGGATTATGATGCTTTCGCATCCATTCTTAACCCCCCTCATGGCTCACGCACGCCTCACGGTTCTCAGAGCTGGAGTAAACGCCCCTAGGTTCATTAACAACACAAATCTTCACAAAGACCTCGCCATATAACGCATCTTAACGTACATCACAAATATATTCTTCCAGAACCTCGCCACAGTTCCAGTGCTTTTCATTTCAATCAAGGTAAAGATTATATTTCTCCGCAATCTGGCTGACACTCCTCCCATCAACAGTCAACAATCTACTCTTTCCTCTTTAAAATTCGCATTGCTTAATTCTAATGTTTAAGGGAGGTTGCTCTAGCCACCCCTTCGCATCATCTTAGTTTGAATATGCTCCCTCCTAACATCTGAGAAATCATGTGGTTGTACTATAAGCACAGTTAGTAACAAATAAAAAAGAAAAAGAATCACGTGTCAAATTGGCCTCTGAGTTTGCTAGAACTCGACCGCACTTGGCCTTCTGGATTCGACGCCCTCCAGCTTGGTGCAAGAGTTACCAACTCCGAGGAGGTGGTCAAAGGAGAAGATATTCGAGCTAATCCCTCCTCATTCCTAAGGCTTCATTCACAATGAGAACTTACACGTAAACATAACCTTCCTGCACAACCTAGAAATGAGTTATAAAACGAGACCATTCACAACGCCTTTACGTAAGCGTAGACATAAAGCCGTAATCTCATGAGTTCGCAAGCACCAAGCTTTTACGTTAAGTTTACGTCGGACTTCTACCAACGACCAATCAGAGAGCAATTCAGCATGGAAGAAAGAATCATGGATTGTGTTCAGGTAGTTTGTGGTTGTCATTTCATTACTGTTATGTACTGAACTAGTTTGCGAACGGTTTTGACGCTAGTAGTGAATTCAAAGTAAGAATTCGAGCCATTTTTCTTGTGCCTTTAACTTGACGTGGCGAATAAAACAATTACATTCGACGAATCACTCGTGAATTCGCTACAAGAGAATCCTTGTTTATAAAGTAAAACAATAATACAACAGCTACTTGCAATTATATATAAAGACAAATCGATAGACAAATCAAAGAAAAGGCTAGAAACCATAGCGGAAAGATCTTTTCACCATGCTAGAAACGAATGGACAATCGATCAAGCTTCAAAACCCTGAAATCCGCTTGGCTCAGGCGAAACTTTCGTTCCAGCTTACGTCCGTCATTGTGAATGCAGATTTTATTGCTGAGTTTGCGGCATGACGTTACGTTAAGTTTGCATTGTGAATGAGGCCGGAGGCGGAGCGAACCTGTTCCCGGGCAACGCAACGGCGCTGGGTTGCAGGTGCTGCTGGCGGCGGGTGCCGACGCCAGCCTGCAGGACGCGCGTGGCGAGACGCCGCTCCTGGCGGCGCTGCAGCGCGGGGGCGGCGGGGCGGCGATGGCGCGCGTGGTGGCGCTGCTCGCGCCGCGCACCGACCTGGCGCGCGCCACCGCCTACGGCGAGACCGCGCTGCACCTGGCCGCGCGCACCGACCGCCCGGAGCTCGTGCGCGAGCTGCTGCAGGTGCGTCCGCCTCTCTCCTCGCGCGAGACGGAGGGCGGGTTTATCGTGTCCCGGGAGCCAACTGCTTAAGCCATTAAATGCGTGAGGGTGGTGCACGTTATATCCCGGGGAGTGGCGGTGTTCCATCCCGATTGGAACGTGAGATCCAGCACTGATACCAAGTATGATTTTTTTCTCACATGGTGAAGCGACCAATTTATTTAATTCTCGACCACGTAAAATTGAATGACCTCAATGTTCAGGCCTTTAGCCTAAGCGATTAACATGAAACATCCCTGAGTCTGAAAACATAATTTTCAAAGCATTTCATTCCGCAGAACTTTTCCATCAAACACTAAGGCACAGTTAACCTTTCGCTGCGTATCACCAAGACCGTGATGAGGCTTCGACCTGCCCGATTAACATAAATCACCCTGAGCCTATTTAACGCATTTTATGCAAGTTTTTTCGAACAGTTTGCTAGGAAAGGGGGAAACAATTATGCGCCTTTTTCATTAGAACCATAAATGGTTTTCAAAAGAAATAGCAAATTAGAATTTCACGAACTTCGTTTGACGAGATTTAAATATGATATTGGCAATGCCACGATACACAAGTTTGAATTTCTTAGAGTTTTCATTTTTGGACGAAGCGGATGGAACTATATGAAGGATTAATTTATTTAACCTTGGTATTACAATGTCTCTAGGTTCAATAATAGTATTGACACCACAGTTGCGTGTATGGTTTCAGTATATTTACACACCGCACACAGTGACACGATGCTCCAATGTTGATGTTTTAATTTTACGTCAAAAACAGTTTTAAATTGTGTATGACGTGCTACGGGGAGAAGTGTATTCTGTGCACGTTGTCTTCAATCCATACACTAAACAACTTACAAGTTGAATTGAGAATTTGTGATTATATATTTAAATGATTTAACTACTTACAAACATTTCTATTGTGTCCCAGGCATAAAATTTAAATGATATAGGCGACAGACTAGTAACCTTACTTTTATGCACTTATAAGGTAATTTATGAATGACCAGCTTTGAATGTTTAATTTATGCACTTGTTTTACTTTAAAAAATGATAGCTGATTGTGGTGTAATAATTAAAAAAATGGATGCTCACTCCGATATAATCAAGCAAACGTGTGGAAATACCCTTGCCTGTCCGCATAACATGCTGTAAATACTGTAATAACAGAGATTTATTCATATTTGTTTCTATTGTAGACGTACGAAGTGACTGCTGTTCCTAGTTATGGAAATAATTGCAGATATCCACCGCAGGCATTGGAATTGGTTGGGATTTTTCAAGTGACGGCTGAGTGTTAATTGGGCAGAAATTGAAATATTATAAAATTACGTTATCGGTATCAATAATGCGAGAAAGTATGTGCTGTTGTAGCACCCCATGATTTTTTCTTCTTTCCCATTAAATCTTCAATTGTACCAAGGTATACGAGTGTAAATATATTCGTAAAACACTTCATTAAGTCATTTAAACTTCATGAAACATACTATCAGAACGAGGATAACAAATATGAAAAAATACTACAATATTACGAAATGCAAAGGTTTTTAGTAGAAATGTATGAAAATCAACCTTACAACATTGCTAATGAAATTTGAAGGTGGTGTTTCAAAGCTGATCTTGTGGGGTCATGCTGCATATGTATGAGTATATTCCAGTAATCTTCAAAATGCAATTTTTGACATGTACATTATGTGGTCTACACATACAATGTCAAAGTCAGTTAATACAACAAAAATCAATTAGTCAATCAACAAATCATGATGCAGCAGACTACGTGGCTTGATTGCATTTCATAGCAATTTCAAAATGGTAGGTTTGAGACTCGGTGTTTATATTTTACGGAATGGATTGCGCTGTTAAATTGATGTTGAATCAACAAATTATGCCCGGTGCCCAGAAACAGAAAATCTGAGACCCGTTCTCAGAAACAAACTGCTCAGCTAATTATTTATGCATTACTAATTTTCTGGATTTCGTATTTACGAAATTAATTTACTATAAGAGCATTCTCTATCGAACGAAGCCAAGGACAAATCGATAGTGTCACCCATTTCTAAAACAACTAAGGTAATTGGTCATGGTCAAGGACACCATTAATCAAGTCTAATCTCCTATTCAGCAGCCAAATCTCACAAAGACTTGAGACCTTCCAAATTCGGCGGCACACTGTTTTCCTCCTCCGCGAATTCGAACTCGTTTGGCTAAGGATATTTTCCGTCCTCCATAATTTAAATCTTTTTTCATTTCTATCTTCATCTTTTATAACTAATTTTTACGTACATAAAGTTAGTGATAGTATTTTCTTCAAATAGTTGGTAACAATTTACCTGACAATTAAATGATATGCCTTTACAATATGTATTACATTTATATTCAACTCCCAGAAAACCTGCAATGCAATTGAACGTGTAACAAATAAAAATTAAAAAATAAAAGGAGCACACCACGCGAGGGGTCGTTGGGTTTCTGCCTCTCCTGCGTGGCCGATGACAACCGCTCTCAGAGCAACGTCCTTCAGAAGCCAAAAGACTCTCTCCACTACACCTATGTTCCGTGTAATCTATTATGTGAAAATTACATTATCATTACGAACTTTTGTAAAAATTTAATGTAGTGCGTCTTCCGCAAATGTAGGCAACGCTAGAAAGTAAACACATCAACGTTCTGCATATTCTTTGACACAAATGTCTCCATGCTGTGAAGTTGTTTACATTATTTCGAGGACCACCACCATTTGGTCCAGTCCTTATAGTTTGCTGATAGTGTATGAATTTTGTATTTTTGTTCATTGTTTATTCTAGCAAGTTAATTTACGATCATTATTAATTTTGTGTTACACGGTACAAACAATAACACAATTTTTCTTCGATTTGCTCCAAAACCAATAATGTCGATATCTTCGAAAGGCGAAAGCAAGTCCGAAAATCGATTTCATCGGAGTCTTCGAAGAAGTTAGGCCGCTCTCGGATCCATCTAGTTTACTTAGGTGGAGAAATTATATCTTCAAAAACGTGCTCGTCGTAACCGAATGCAATTGCACATAACCTCTCTGCCGCGTTTCTTTGGTCTCCTTAAGCCAGCTTACGCCCCTCCAGCATCGTCCGGAGGGCGCTTATGTACAAAGCGCAGCTTAATGCTAGGCCTCGCTTACGAACCATGGTGAAACGCTATTTCGACCTAAGCTTGCTTATTTCTGCTAAAGCCTCGCTTAGCCATCTTAAGCGGACGTGGTGAAACCCTTAATCGCTAGGCTTGAAGAAAAACGTTTAAAAAATATCAATTTGTAGATTATGGCTTAGGGCATTCACTACAGAAGCAAATCTGCTTGGGAGGCTCTAAAACGCAATGTTGCCAAGTTACACACGATATTTGGGTGCTGTAACATTTTGCGAGTTGCATCTATACGCTATTATTATTATTATTATTATTATTATTATTATTATTATTATTATTATTTCGTAACTTGTATTTAATATAATTTTGTCATTGGTCGATCATTAGAAATAGCTCCGAATAATGGACCCTTCAGATGACGCCGCAGCCACAATACGACTCATGTGGAAAATCTTACCATTTCATTTTATTGTAATATCTTCACGTAGCCTAAATTAGCTGTATCTCCACCAGACCTCCACATGGACTATCTTTTTCCTTTCCATTACCACTATTTTTTTCCATCTGAAATATTGCTGTGAACACACTGAACGCTAGGGCGGGATGCTCCACGCTTTGTTTCTAAATCAAAAGGGAATTATGCGTTCGAGTCGAAATGCTAGAATGGTTAGCCATAATGGCTTTCAAGACAACGAGGATAAAAACATCCAACACAAACTGGCATACCTAAATCCTCTGCAGTTTACACTGTATTTTCCAGATTCTCATTGATTTACTATTGTTAACTCATGTACTCAATTGTGTGTGGATGTTGGTGTAGACGTCATGTTTAGAAAAAATGTTAGTCAGAACATTTTTATTTCCATTTCGTTCAGCCTGAAAAAATGACTTTTGTAATTATTACGGTACTCATCTACATTGAAATATGGGACTTGAGGGTCAGGGTGAAGTTGGGTGTAGTGACAATATTAAGTCTTTTGACTAAATGAAACGTCCTTGACAATGCAGATAAGGGGTGATTTAGAAATAGCTTTCTTGGCCCGCTTGTTTTTTTTATCTTGGATCGCAGCCAAAGTTTTCCATAATAAAAGAGGTTCATATTCTATGCATCCTTTACAATGCATCGCGATATCTGCAAGTCGAGATGAGAATCATGACATATTTTTGGGCGACTAACTCCGCGACAAAAGTCTTCTCTCGCTAGTGTTGTCACAGGGTTTTTGCGACGGAGATAAAACAGTGGGTGCTTCTGTCACTCAGATAAGAGTTGAATAATCATCTTTATCTGGAAGTGACGTTGCAATTAATACATCTGATAGTCAAGCATCTGTTTCCTCATGGCTTTATATTTGCCATTTTACTATTGTGAAGTATTTGAAGAATCTGTAACTTTTTCCGCGTAATATATTGTAGACAAGAAACACATGCGAAAGTGTGCAAAACAATGCTCGAGAAAAAGGGAAGAAAGAATTAAAGTAAGAGTGTATGTGTGTACATACCTCTCTCTCAAACCACAGAGCAATTCGAACTCGTTTTTAATGTATTAGTCCAAATAAAATTCGGTATTTTCTGCGACCCTCATGAACAGTTACTTCCCTGCAAATCAATGTGCTTACCGTAAAAGACAAAATTAATCACGTGCGTACTGAACAAATGCATGTAAAATGACAAATCATCTTATTGACGAGACATTTTTATTGTCTGAAACTTCGTGTTAACTATGTAATCTGAAATTACAATGTACTTTATAGTAAGAAAGCAAAAGAACCAATGACAATCTTGGAGATATGACTTACTTCAGAACGTAATAGCATGTAGTTGAAAGGTAGAAGCTTTTTCATA